TTTAGTTGGGCCGGGCGGGCTTATCAAACTTAAGGCCCGCTGTGGGCTGGGCTGGGCCACGAAAAAATGGCCCGTTTCGAGGCCTGGTAACAATAGACTACGACACAAAGCCAAGAATAAACGACTTGAAATCAAAAATCATACCACATATATAATATTTATTTCATCAAAAATCTTATAAAATGATTAAAAATTAACAAAATTTTTCAATATCCTTTGCCATCAGTTCGACGTTAGGCCTTTCATAGCAACATCACTTGGCGAGCTACCTGTGCGTTCTTTCTTGGAACAGCCATGTCGTGGCATCCATATCTGGCAAGCTGCATGTTAATCTCCAATGTCTTCAATATCTCCTACACCTCCTCTGCCTCTATGTCCCACTACACCAGTGTATCCCTCTGTTCTTCCTGTCTCCTGTAGTTACTAGCTGCCTTGTATCCCTTTTGTCTCTATAACTGCTTTACCTATTTATATATTATAGTAGTGTAGAATCAAATTTCCAGAAAATCCTGCAAACGCATCATATGAGATATTTTGAAGAACCCATCCATTTCACATCGAACAGAAACGAATTTTATCGAAGAAATAACAATTTTTTTTTGCTTCGTCAGGATTCGTCATCTTCTCCTTCTCTTCTACCTCCTTGAATATTTGCTACGCCTTCTATGTACAGTCGGTTGCAATAGAATGTAGATTTAAAGGTACTTGAAAAAACGAAAGAAGAAGGGTAACAGAGCAGACAGAAACAGAACAGAAAGTGTTGTCATGGTGCAAAATTCAAACAACAAGTCATTTGAAAAAATCAGCAGAAGGTGTAAGTCGGAAGAATCCTTTCCAACAACACATAATCAGCATCATATACTTGACTCTGGTGAGTAAATCACTTGGAATAGTCGATGGCAACGGAAACTGTTTTTAAGGATATTATTTAGCGCTGAGATATAGATAGTAGTCTAACTTGTTTCTCCCATTTGATTCATCAGTGTGAGTAGTTAAAGAGTTGAGGGTATGGGTGGATTTGCGATTTCATTGAACACAGACGATATCCATACTCTGAGGCAACCCGTTTAAATTTGTTTTTTTACCGGAAAAACTTTCAAACAGTTGATAGATGTGTTTGATCAATGTCAAACGCATTAAAACTACAAATTATACGAAAGACACATGAATAGCTACGCGCCACGCAATCATGTATCGAAGTGCCGAGATAAATTTTGTACGATTCAACACGATAAAAAAGTCATTCAGTAAAATCACCAGCTAACCATCAGTGCTCTTGTGTCACTGCGAAAGTTTTCTAGTAACAGTAAAATATTTTGGCTATGCGACAGAACCCTTGGAAATTCAACCATGTGCTCAAGTAACTATTAGAGCGATAGTGAAAACTTCTGTTGTTGAAGAAGTCGGTGAAAAGATATAAACAAACGGCTCTAGATGAGTGGTTCTATCTGTGTTCACAAACGTGCGAGCGTTAGAAAACTGTCACTCTCACTAAAATTCACACACTAATAATTAGGGATTCGTACAATACAATTTTGGCAAATGGCAATGCGTGGAAGGAAATGGAAAAAGCTCAGCAGTGTAGAATAGTAAATGCAAATGTTCGCAACGAGTGTCACATTAAGTATGAATACTTAGTACTGTGACAGATTAGCTCTGATCAAGCCAACTATTAGTAAGAATTAGATTTGTAACAGTTCCAGCTCTCCGAAGCTGAAGCGGTAAACCAGGGTATGGGTGTGGAGTGTGCGTTTGGATTAAGCGAAGCTTAACATTCAGACCCACACTCACAACCTGTATGTTTTGTCCTTAAAATAGAGAAGAAAACGCCTTCCTCGAGTCTGATTGGGTGATAGGTAACAGGTATCAGCCAGTGAAAAATCACTAACACTCATACGGGTGCTCACGAGCGTGAGCTCTACAATCCTACTCCAACGACAGCCAATGGAGAGCTATATGTAATCCCTAGACAACCAACAGAGACCTATGAACACCCTACCAAGTTAGTCAGTGTAGACTTATAGGTCCCACAGAGAATATCTCATGGGAACCTGTGGATACCCCCTAGGATAGCTCATGGAGACCTATTGGCATCCCCCTAGGATAGCCAACGAATACCTATATGTACCTCCATAGGATAGTCCATGGGGATCTGTGGACACCCTCCTAGAGATAGACAATGGAGACCTATGGGGAACTCCTAGGATAACCAGAGGAGAGTTATAGATAGCCATCCCGAAAAATACTAGTCAACAGTTCCAGGCTCTGAGAGCTAAGTTGTTCACTAGCTTCAGCTCTCAAAAACCGAGCTGTTGAACAGCTCCAGCTACCATGAGCTGAGCTGGTCAACAAGCTCCAACTCGAGAAACGAAGCTGGAGCTGTCACAAACCCAGCAAAAATGAAGTAAAATATACTGCTGAACATGACATTCTGGCAGTCACAGTTGAGAACCTGAATACCTTTCGTCGCTAACCGTGTGCTAACTCCCGAGTAAACCCTCTCAACACTAGCAGTGATGTTGATGGCATCATATTCGAGCAGAGGTTCGGTCATGAGTAGAATAATCCATTCAACAACAGTAGAAGCTCGTTCAAAAATATAAGTCACACACGATACTTTCTAGATAATTTTATTTTCTTAGTTTACGATTCACTATATTTTTTCTGTTTCTTATTAACTACGAAATATTTTCTTCTGAAGATCGAGAAACACGTTTATAAACCAAGTGAAAGTTCTGCATTCTCAGAATATTTAGTATACTGAAGTCGACACAGTTTTGGCTTCGAGTGTGTTAGACTCAGTCATTCTCAGTCCTGAATAGATGGAGTATTGGGAACGGAAATTCGTGTATTTGTCCGGTATCTGATTGGTTGAATCAATGAACCAATAGAATTTCAGAATCTTAAAAATCAGCAAACCAGGTGTTTCTCTCGTTCGGGAATTAGCCAATAGGATTTCAGCATGCGAAAAACCAGCCAATCCGATGTATTTTCAATTTTCCTTTCAGCCAATCAGATTTTTTCCTTGCAAAAATCAGCCAATCGTATGTATTCTCAATTTTACTATTTGCCAATCGGGTATAGTTCACGTTTTCGTTCAACAATAGCAGCACTCCGTCGTTTAGTTGTGAGAGAAATGCATGGTTGTGGTTGAGAATGATTTTGTGTAATTACGAATTTGTGTGAATAGGACTTTTTAACAATTGTCAGGGTAGGGATGTGCCATTTAGAATGTTGATCTGAAAGCTTCGGGAGTGAATATGGATCAGTGTGTTCTTGTTTGTGAGGGTGGGATGGTGCAAGATTGTGGACCGTGACTATATGGTGTAAAGGTCATGTTTAGGTTCTGTTGAAAAATACTGCGATGTTTGCCGCCGTGTTGGGTTTAACTGTCGGTATCGACGAATATAGGGATTAACGTGTGTTATAAACAGTGACAGCATCGGCGCGAGGTGATAGTGTTGTGGGATTAGGTTGAGCACATACGGATGTGAGATTAAGAGCGTGAAAATGAGGGTAAGCGGAGAACACAGATAGGGCTAGCTAGGAACGTAAGAGTCAAAGCATAAGCGAAAGTGTCGTGGCGGAAAGACTTTGGCGTGGGGACGTGTCATTAAAAGCTGTAAGTTTATGATTGTGTGCATACGAATGATAGGATAAAGACGCCAGGATAGGCATAGAAAGACAAGTTTATCAGGATCAGGTCTTGAGGGTAACGGTGCGAATAGTGGAGTTTGAGAATAAGGATATGAAGAGTAGGGTAGGAGAGTAAGAGAGTGAGCAAATAAAGGCGTCTTCAGATAGTTGCGAGAATAAAGTTGTGAGTGGGGCGGTTATAGGCTCGAAGTGTGAGCAAGACAGTACGAGAATATTCGTGTGCGTATAGAGATAGGAGTCTCATGGCGCGAGCACACAGGTGATAAAATAAGAGGCGAGAAGAGTGAAGATATGAACAGGAAGTAGTGCTCCTGTAAAAGTTTAAGGCCAGGAGCGTGAGGTGGCGAACCTTATTGTAGGAATGGCAGGGTAGGTGTGCTAGAATAAGAGCGTGCTATTAAAGGTCTATTGTTATGGATGTAAGCGTATGATTGAGAGGATAAGGTTATAAGCAGGACGGTGTGATGATAAGGGTGTGAGTAGAGCGATATAAGTGTCACGGTGCGTGCATGGGGATGGTAAAATAAAGGGCGAGAAGGAGAGATAGATAAGTAGGTAGGAGTGTGTGTAAAGATGTGAGAGCAGGTGTAGATGGGCGCGACTGTTAGTGTAGTTATTAGAGAGTAAGTGGGTTATTATGGGGATGCGTGATTAAGACGGTTAGATTATGCCTGTAGCATACACTTGGTAGGATAATAGTATGAGCAGGATGGTTGGGAAAGAAGTGAATCATTACAGAGATGGAAGCGTCAGGAGGGTGTGGGTGTGGGTGGGTGTGGGTGTGGCTGTGGGTGTGTGGGTGTGGGTGTGGGTGT